GAGTGGTTCTTCCCTGAGTCTGAGAGTCTTACCCCTCCTATCCTGCCCTTCTTACTCTAAAGTCTGGTCCTTGGTTCTGGGAGGAAGGCAGCAGGCGGGCGTGTGGCCCGTAATCCGCGCCAAGGCCTTTGTGGGAGGTTGCCCCACCGATTGCGGGAGCTCTGCCGGGACTCAAGCGGAGTCCTGGAGGCAGGGAACTGGGTGGTAATCCCTTAACTCCCTCTATAGACCCAACTATAACCCCTACCTGTACATCTTTTTATGGTTTGACTGAGTGTACTGCGTGACTCTTGTACTCTGATTTGGGTTTGACTGTCAGGACTAAAGTCATACTGAAGTAAAGGAGTGTGTGTGCAATCTCAGTTTCAGGTTTGTTGATTGCCTGAAAGCAGCCTATGAATGAGATGGGTTGCATATGGGGGAAGGTTGGGAGGAAGGCAGTTTTGTGTGCAGCTTGACTGGGTCATTAAGGCTGGGAGGTCCCCTTAAGTTTGGGGAAGCCCGGCGCTCTGTTTATTTTTGGTTTGCATGGAGCCTCAGACCGCTCTATAAGTTTAGGTAGCTTGAAGCTCTGGAGGTCGGGATGTCCCCATAAGTTCGGGGAGACCTGGTGTTGTGAACTGCATGGAGGGTCAGAATGCTCTATAAGTTTAGGTGTCCTGACTGCTCTGACTTGTGGGGATTTAACTGTGAGTGGTTTTCAGGGACCCAAGGCGCTCTATAAGTTTAGGTGCCTTGGGTTGCCTCATTTACTTGGGATTCTCTCAGTTTCTTTGGTTCTGAACAAGGAGGTCTGAGCCGCTCTATAAGTTTAGGTGGCTCAGCCCTTCTTCTGTTTTGTTTTGAGGGAATAATCTGGGCAAGGGACGTGCCGCTCTATAAGTTTAGGTAGCCTGTCCCACTGCCTAGCACAACGGCCGCCATCTCCCCAGAGAGAAACGAACCTAGCTGAGGATCAGACCACTCTATAAGTTTAGGTGGTCTGACCCAATGCCTCGCACATGTTGGAACCCAATGGATATAACTTGGCTATATTGTACTACTATGTTATTAAGAACAAGCTAATCAGACCGCTCTATAAGTTTAGGTAGCCTGACTATAGCTTATCACAACTGAAGAGAGTATAATTAAGAGATATAATTGAAGGTAAGTGTGGACAGGCTGAGCAATGTTCTAAGTTGAGCGGCTCAGCCTTATGTCCCTTTGAAGACTAAGTTCAGAGAGGTATATACAATTTGGCTATTTAAACAGTTCAGGGCGACTAGAGTGGTCTAGTCACACGCCCAAAGAAGAAGAGAAGTAGTTGTGCCCTCTGTTTGTGTATCCTTGGCCAAGTCAGAACGCTCTATAAGTTTAGGTATTCTGACTTTGGGCTTGGCTAAGTTGGGCGCGCTCTGTAAGTTCAGGTGCCCTGACTTATGCCTTATGTAAGTAGGGTATAAAGGGGTAACTCACTGAGAAAGCATGAACTATTGGTTGCTGAAAGAACTTGGGAATGACGAGACTACTTACCTTTGTGGTTTGGCCTGCATGTGGCCGAGTGAGACTTCTACTTGGTCTAGGTTTCAGATTGACAGGTAGTTGCTTTAGAGGCTCGCCTCGTGCTAGAGCGATAGGAGTTAGGTCAATTTCTGCATTTGCTGAGCTGACTTTATTTTACTTAGACCGATTTTTGCATTTTCTTAGGCTTGTTACTATACTTCGACCTGTATAAATTTTGATAAGCTACTTTTCCTACGGGAAGCGCTGCCGAAATTTATACAGATTCAAGGAGTTAGATAAATTTGACTTGCCAAAGTTTAGCTCGTCCTTTCGTCATATCTGACTTAGTAAAAATCTGGAAAGCCTCCTTTTCTAAAGGGAATGCTGCCCAATTTTTTTTTAATTCAGGGAGTTAGACAAAATTGGGTTTTGGGATGTTAGAGTTAGTCTCGGGTTCTAAGCTTGGCTTTGTATGAATGTTGGGAAAACACTTTTCTAGGGGGAGTGCTGCCGAAATTTCTGCAAGACTAAGGAGTTAGTCAAAACTTGTTTAAGTTGAACTCAAGTTGCCGTGTGAGTTCATATCTGACCTAGTATAAATCTGGGAAGTCTCCCTTTCTAAAGGGAGTGCTGTCCAAATTTCTACTAATTCAGGGAGTTGGATAGAATTTGGTTTTCCAGAGTTGGAGATTATTTTTGTTTTCATATCTGGGCTGATATAAACTTTGGAGAGACACTTTTCCTATGGGAAGCGTTGCCGAAATTTTCTTGATTTAGAGGAGCTAGATTATATTTTGACAGATGACGATTCCGACGATCCACCCTGAATAGGGGAGATTCAACCAGGGTCTGCCTTTGCTTTGAGCACCGCCTCGAGGTAGATTTAGGCTTAGCTAGCTAGGAGGATTTGAGTGAGAATATGTTATGGAGTTGTATTCTCCATACGCTTATGATCTCAGCTTGGGGATTGGTCTGTCATGTGTTACAGGTCGTCTTGATCGTTCGATTCAAAATCAAGACTAGATTCAACTTGATCCCTGGAGGATCGTCTTCTGTTATCACTAATAACAGGTCGGTTCCCGATTCGTCGGTCTTCGACTCAATTTCAATCCATTTCCCATAATCAACCTAAAAGGCTTTAGCCCTAGTGGTTTTTACTGTTTATTAAGGGTTTCACCCGGACTTTTATTGAATGGCCATTTAACAAAGGGTACTGAGTATTTAATTGAGGTTGGTTGGACTGGCAGTTGGGGCTTGCATGGCTAAAGCGAAGGGGTATGAGCATAGAGAACGGTTGGGGTTGACTCCGTGTAATGCGTGTTTTGTCGCTTGATTCTTGGTGTGGTTGCAGGTATGTCCTGTGGCTCAGATTTTGGATTTGGACTGCCCGCAATTCCATATACACATACATGGTTGTGAGGAGTCTCACTGTATCTGTGAGAAGTGATCGTCATAACTCTATCCCCCTTCCGCATGTATGTGTGGATATACGAATGATGAGTGTTCGGGAGGCCTAAGAGGCCATGTTAATAACTGCGTGAGAGTTGGGATTAAGAGACAGGGAAGACCCTCCCCTCTGCCTATTTGCGTCTTGGGGCTTTCTTGGTCGGACGTTGGTCATGGGCCAGGATTCAAGGTCCTTGTCCAGGACATCCCAAACCCCAGGCCCTGAAGGGGAGGAGTCTCCCCTTGCATAGGGCCTGCTTACTTTGGCCGACGGGACACTCTGCCTGAAGGGCGGAAATGTTGCGAGGGCCGAACAGCGTGTCCTTTAGCCGTTCAATATCGTGAGGGGTAACCCCTCGCGATGAGTTCCTCCAGCCATTCAATATCGCAAGGCCGGAGCCGCGGTTACCACGTATGATTGGCATCAGTGATTGGCATAGGATTAGCCTGCGGCCGCACAATTTTATATCAGGGCCCTGCGCGCGACGTCTCGTCGCCCTAGCACCTAAAAGTTATGGGATCGCCGGGCTCACGCGTAGGCGCAGCGCTTGGGATTATTGTAGGCCGCCGGCACCGCCCATAGAGGGGAAGTGTGTCCCAAGGCCATGAGTTTTTTTGTTTTAAAAAACAGGGGACCTTTGCCCTATCCCCTCTTCTTGGATTCGTGCGAGTCCTGTTACTTCTTAGAGATTTGTATGGTTGGACGTTGTAGTCCGTGGCAGGGTCAAAGTCAAACCCCTTGACTTTCGCCTAGGCCCCGGGGAGGACTCACCCCTAGGGCCGCGAGAGACAACTACCACCACAGGCATGGGCCTGTGTACCACCCGCTCTGCATAAGGGGTGCAGAAGAGGGCGTGTGGTCTCCAACCGCGCATGGCGGTTGTCCAGCGTCGAGAGATCAACCCTCTAGGCGCGTGTCAGCCGACACTTGAGTGTCGAATGCGACCCTCGAGATTAACGAGGACCGCATGAGTATGGGTACTACATGGTACGCCATCATTGCGACCGTGTGCGTATGCTTGCATTGCGAGTCGGTATGAGTTAGCCCTGCGTTCGAGCGATTTTTATATCAGGTCTCGCGCGCGATGCCCATTTGATTTCCGTATCGAAAAGTTATGGGATGGCTACCGAGGGGCTAGGAGCGTTGCCTCGTTGTTTTGTGTCGCGTTGTTCGTATGCTGTCGTTTCGTGTGTGTGTGTGTGCTGTCTCTTATACACATCTAGATGTGTATAAGAGACAGCGTGTAGTGCGTGTTTTGTCGCTTGATTCTTGGTGTGGTTGC